CTACTTTTATCTGCTTTTAGCCTGAAAAAACGTGTTATGACTTATGAGTGAAGATGGGTAATAATTAGTTAATTACTATGAGAAACTATAGGATTATGATTTTAATGTTAAATAAGTTTAGCTGTTTAATTTTGGCTTCATAAAGATTACGTTTGGTTATATTGGTTCGAACTATGTGTCAAAATATGGACACTACTAGCCCATTTTATAACTTGAGCTTTCAAAGGCTTATACGGACCATTGTATCATCTATGGCCCATCATTTCAGTACTCAAACCAAGACAGCCTCTTCATCCATATACACAAGAGTGAGCAGAGTTGAGCAAAGTTAATACAATTGTGTAATCTTGTACACTACAAGTCTACAACAGTCCAAGAGTGAGCAAAGTTAAGCCAAATTTCGTATGGACTGTGATGGTCTGATGTTAGAGAACTTCTGAAGTTATGTGTCCGTGTCAATGTTTAATTCGATAGAATCCCGAGATCATCAAGAGAATCTCGATTCAACTATCTGAATGATGTTTAAAAAAACAAGTCATGCATTCTATTTTCTTTTGTAAACCAATTTTGTTGTTGTATGCACTATACGGTTCGATGAGTTTATACCCCCCCCCCCCAATGTATTGGTTAATAAAGAAAAAGTTGTTGAAATACTAGATCATGAGGATAGAATCCACTCATATCTTCACTGAAAGAGATATTTTTTCAACTTCTTTCTTTGGCAGATATTACTTTCACCTTCTTTTATGTTTAGAAATATAATTTTTTTCATCATTTTCCCTTTTTTAAGTTTTTTTTTTGTTTAAAAAACAAGAAAATGTTATATTTCCCTAATCAATTTGTATTCTTGTGTAGCGGTTTTTATGGGGTCAGAAGATTCCACGGATTTTGTTCCGACGAGATTAAGAAGATTAAGAGGTATAGACAATGTTTCATCGTCACATTCTGAAGTACGTAAGTTACTTTTTTTTCTCGGTCGCGGATGTTTTGCTGATGTATCTAGATAACTCGGTGGATTTGTTGTCGCTTAACTATGATGATTACTCATTCTTATCTTTTATTTTTTTGAAGTTTACTTTTTTTAATAAAGGATTTTGATAACTCTTCCATACCAATGTAATACAAGAACAATTAATGAATGCAAAGGTTTGTGTACCGAAAATAAGGAAAAACAAACCGCTTACATTTTAATGAACATATTGTGTATCGCTTTAGTAGATAGTAGATACATACATAAGAATTAACATATATTGGCTATGTAGACATACTGAAAAGTGAAAACATACATCCCCTAATTCGATATAGTTCATACTCAATTAGTGCTGAAAATATCCATCCACTTCTCTAGGTAGTAATAATAAGTCAGAATCACAGTTTATCAATGTTAATCTATAACGTGCAATAACTTTATAACCAATGGAAATTGGCATTTAAAGTTCTTCGTATGCACAACTACACCGGCCTCGCGGGCTCCATCCGTACCAATACAGGAAGAAAAGTCTTCAAGAAAGTATCTAAAACCAGTGGCAAAGGACTACTCATCTATGTCAAATAAGAATAGTCTAAAGTTGATTTCACCAATAGGAATCCAAGGTTTGATTCATGTCTATATCATTTCATTGTCAATACGAGATTATAGAATTTTATTTATTCATTTTTCTTGTTCAATCGTGCAGCCAGGTTTTATTTATGATTTTATTAATTTTTCAAATTGCATTCATCCTTAACTTGTTTTAGTTGGGTAACTTGTTTTTTCTACTCTAGAGAGATTCAGATAGGTTGATTTGAAAACTAATTTAGACGACTTTTGGAATATGCAGCTGGGAAATAATATACAAATTGATACTAAACATCATTAATCATGCAAGATGTAATACAAAAAAAAAAAAAAAAAAAAGTAAACTCTTTTCAACATCGCCAAGGCCACTGAAAAGTGATGTAACATTTAGGTTAGGATTTTCGTTATTCTTTTTTTCAAAAACAAGAGTTTAACAAGTCTAATGTGAAAGAGAAAAATCTTCCCAGTCTGAATAGCAATAATACTTAGCTCTACCACACATTCAATTCCATGGGATACGTATTAAAAGACATTCATGTTATAATTTGTATACAGTGTTACCAAGTATCGAGAGTTTATAAAGAAAATCTGTGTCAAAACAAATCTAAGAAGGGAAAAAAACAACCTTAATCATTAAAATTGATTGTTTCTTTTCTCAACTGTTTTTTATGAAGACGAAGGGTTTATAATTTTGTGGAGGTTTCACTGATGTCCGATTTGGTATACACTATACAAGGGTAGACTGGTCTTTTAAAAATGTTGCAATGTCAAAAGAAAAAGATAAGAGAGACAGAGAATCTATCTCCTACACTTCAGAGGATTCCAACGAAGTCCAGAGGAGAAGGAGATGCCAAAGTCTTCGCCCCCAAGATTCCACACATCAATTAAAAAGTGGGTTAGAAAGTCAGCAATATCAGGGACCTACAGAATATTCACTAATTAATCAATTAACGATTCCATTTAAATTTGTGTTAGTCCAAATAAACGGCTTATTATTATTTATCTTCTTTGGGTGTTTTACGGCATATTTTGTTTTTTTTTGTTGGGGTTTTACGGCTTATTTTGTTGACAACAATGCCGCTTATTTTTAAAATATATTTAAATAATCAGATGGTTCAAAGACACACAAAAATATAAACTTCATAAAACAATTTTTAATTTTTGCAGATATTCAGTTTTTTTTTTTGTTAAAAGGCCTAGATATGCTGAAATTTTAGACAATGGTTTCTTTCAGTTTTTATTTGGCTGAAAAAAAAGGAGACGTACGAAGACAAATAATTGAAGAAACAAACAAGTTGCTAAGTTTTGTAACACTTTGTTGTAAATTGTAATTAAGAGATTAAGACGGCCAAAGTTAATGCTTCAAAGACTTACCTTTGCCATGGTTAAAGAGCCCAAAAGAAGCTACTATTCCCCGAGTCTCAACTCTCAAGTATTGACTTTATAAAATCAAATATTAAGAAAGGTACAATTAACCAACACAAGAAGTATACGAATAACTAGTACAATTGATAGTACTAGGGATTGAAGCTCCGCGCACGCGCGGAGTTATTTGTGATAATTATTTTGTATGATTTTATTTATCTTTGTTGATTTGAATAATAATAGTTTTGTGTTAATCTCCATGTTTTGATTATATTTTGAGTTAAAATCACTCACACTAAGCATATGATCAATTTGTTTTGTTTTATTTTATTAAGATGTTAACTCTACACTTCATCTCGAGCTTTTCGTAGAATCGTATTTGCATTCGATGTATTACTGTTTACATATATGTTTTGTTGTGGTATCATTTGAGCATAATGACCTATGATTATTTCTATAATGTTAGTTTTGTAAATATAGATTGTATTTTTGAAACAAACATGTCACAATCCTTAAAATTTTCATGTTTTATTTGGGTTTTTAAAAAGAATCTAAATATAATTTCTCATTAACTTCCTACTATATAAACTAAATTATATTCTAATTTTTTAACTTGTAAACACATTATAACATTTAAAAAATAGGAGAAATCTTCTATAAAAAATTCTAACTCTAATTTTTTTCATGAGCTTTCTACTATATTAATCAAAAAATTATATTCAATATTTTTGAACTTGTAAACACATTATAAACTTTTTAGAGAAATTTTATGAAATACACCTCTTGGGGTGCAAATTTTCAAAACTACACCTATAGTGTGAAAATTTTCAAAAATACATCTTTTTCTAATTTTAATATATATGTTTGGGTTCACTAATCCTATATTAGGGTTTAGATGTTGGGTTTTAGGGTTTAGATTTAAGGGTTCAATGTTAGATTTTAGGGTTTTGGATTTATATTTTAGGGTTTAGAGTTCTTTTACTCCATGAAAAAAGTGTAGTTTTGAAAATAAACACCATAGAGGTGTATTTTTGAAAATTTGCACCTCAAGAGGTGTAGTTTTGAAATTTCCCCAACTTTTTAAATAGAGAAAATACTATTTTATGTTGCATATTTCTTTATTTCATCTCCATTTTATATTATAAATGTTTCTTTAAATTTTAACACCAAGTTATCACATACTTTATTTTAATTAATTAATGTATTTGTGTATTTTTTCTTAGTTTTATTTATTTTTAAAATAGGAATATATGTAAAGAAATATGAAAAGACAAGTTGTTAATAAATATTGTAAATATAATTTATTATTTTTGTGCTGATGTGGACACTCTAGATGGAGAGAGCAACTCCCTAATTATATATAAGATATAATATGTTATTATAATATCAGAAAAAAAAGTAATTTGTTGAAAAATTACATTACTAGTAATTTGAGTTGTTGCTCTATTCAGCTAATTCTAATAAAGTTTTGTTCATTTGTTTGTCAGAAATATATATCTTTCTCTACTTTAGATTAGTTCAAAATAGATAAAATGGAACCAAATTATTTTTTTATTTTTTCATAAAAGAGTCAAAATGATACTTATATTGAAAAGGATAGACAGTGTAGATTGGGGAAATCTTTGTGGATTTTCGTAGGTTAGATATTTATATCCATAGGAGTTTTGTATTTCATATACATTCAAAAAAGTATCAACTGTTGACAAAACTAATTTCAAACTTGTATCGTCTCCTACCTTGTTTAGTGAGATCTTCCAAATGATGGTCTACTGTTTATAACAGACGAATTTAACTATTTGCCGTATACACAAATACACAACCAATGACCCTATACGATTGTAAGACGAAAGATTTTATCTAATAACTCCTGAATTTTTACTATCGCGATAAAAGAAATAAATACAGCATCCATTTTTTTACTGATCATTTAAAAATGATTACATGATCCATGAAAATGTCAGAGCCTTCTCACTCTCCTCTATATAAACTCACAATCTCAAACCTTAGATTCCTCAAAAATCTTCCCATTCCTTAAACCCTACTAAACCCCACAGAATTCTCTAAAGCTCACAAAAAAATGGAGGTCGACGGCAAAGGAGGAGAATCTGGGACCACCACCACTCGGAGGAGGTTCGCTCTTCCGGTGGATACGGAGAACAAATCGACAACTTTCCGGCTGTTCTCCGTCGCTAGACCTCACATGAGAGCTTTCCATCTCTCATGGTTTCAGTTCTTCTGCTGCTTCGTCTCCACTTTCGCAGCTCCACCTCTCCTCCCAGTCATCCGCGAAAACCTAAACCTCACCGCCTCCGACATCGGAAACGCCGGGATCGCCTCCGTCTCCGGCTCAGTCTTCGCTCGTCTCGTCATGGGAACGGCCTGCGATCTCTTCGGTCCACGTCTCGCCTCCGCCGCTCTAACACTCTCCACCGCTCCCGCCGTCTACTTCACCTCCGGGATCAAATCTCCCATCGGGTTTATCCTCGTCCGATTCTTCGCCGGGTTCTCGCTTGCCACTTTCGTCTCGACGCAGTTCTGGATGAGCTCCATGTTCTCCGGACCCGTCGTCGGGTCGGCTAACGGAATCGCCGCCGGTTGGGGAAACCTCGGAGGAGGCGCGACGCAGCTGATCATGCCGGTGGTGTTCTTGATGATTCAGAAAATGGGAGCCACCAAATTCACGGCGTGGAGGATCGCTTTCTTCATCCCTGGCCTCTTTCAGACTCTCTCTGCTTTTGCCGTTCTCTTGTTCGGCCAGGTACCGGTTAACCCAGTCAGTTATTTCGATTTATTCAATTTTCCGGTTTAACAAATTGATAACCGAAGTTCTCTGTTCTGATTTGTTTTTTGTTAATCTACAAATCGAATATTAAATTTACTTTATGATAATATATGAATTTAAAATAATATATTGACCTAAAAAACAATATAACTAAAACATTTGTACATTTTTTGGTAAGTTACATTAGAGTGAAAATAAGAACGGTTTACAAAATTTGGTTCGGGTTTGATTTGATGTATAGAGTATTTTCTTTTATCAACCATTTTAGTAGCCACGGTCAAGTTTCGTTAGAGATAATTACGAATCATCTTAAATGTGCATTTATTACAAGCAAGTTAATTATTATTACTCACGTAATTATCACTCATGTTTTGTCTTTTTATTTTATTTGTTAATTGAAAAGGATCTTCCCGATGGAGACTATTGGGCAATGCACAAATCTGGAGAGAAGGAGAAAGATAAGGTGGGGAAAGTGATCAAACATGGCCTCAAGAACTATAGGGGTTGGATAACAGCATTAGCGTATGGCTATTGTTTCGGAGTAGAGCTCACGATAGACAACATCATCGCAGAATATTTCTTCGACAGATTCCACTTGAAACTCCAAACAGCTGGGATTATAGCAGCGAGTTTCGGTCTTGCCAATTTCTTCGCTAGACCCGGCGATGGAGAGTAATATGGTGGTGGTGAAGGTGAATTGTAGACAGATGGTGGAGGAGGTGATTTGTATTCTACATCCGGGGATGGTGAATATGATGGTAGTGGCGGTAAGCTAGTTGTGTATGGTTCATACGCAACAACCATTGTTGCCATGATGATAATTCCTAAAGCGGAAACAAGATGGGCTGAAGGCCCCATCCTAGGAGAAGATCTCATGGTGATATTGCTTTTCTTTACCAACGTCTTACGTTGGTTAGTGTTTCTTGTTTTGGTTTGTGTTGTAAGGAAATGGATCATTGGTTTATATAGCAAAGTTTTCTTTTAATCAAGCTTGTCTTCTCTCTTTTGCCATTTGTTTTTTGACTCCATCAAACTAAATCGTGGAAGCATGTTTACACGATGCTAATCTGAGACGTGCAAGAACGTTTAATGAATGTCAATGAGCCACTTTCCATTTTCTAATCACAAGTTCAGGAAGAATTTGTTTAGATGCATTGTTTTGGTAAAAAAAAAAATAAACATTGTTTTGTTCATTGACCAAGTTCGTTTATTATTCAATATTTTTTTTTGTGGACATTCGACGACGCATTTAATTCTTAGTTGTCACTGGTTCTGCATTATTATCGATTGTATTTTCCTTTTAACAATTACAAAAGTATATTACATGAAAATGCTCATGAACACTTTTGAGTTCTACACCTACGTATATGATATACATTATTGTTATCAGGTGAGTTTACTGCACCATAGAAATTCGCAGAGAACAGCGTTAGCGAAAGAGGCCGAGCCTCAACTCACCCCCAAACTTGACAAGTTCAAGGTTCTCTTTATGTTTTTGTGTATTGACGGTTGTGTACGCTTTTGTTTTCTTTTGCTTAAGAGTTCTCAAGAACTCTATTTCTTCATTTTATTTTATACAAGTGTGTGATAAGTTGTGTATGTAATGTAAGAACCTACCGGTTACTACTTTCTCTTTGTCGAGTACTTTTGTAATGTTTTGTTCATCATGCAGTGAACCAACGTTGTTATTCAAATGATAGACGTGTTTTTTTTGTGTGTGTATGATATTATGGTTCGTGTTTGTTATCGTCAATAATGACGTTGACACAACAAAACCAACCACTTGATTACAAACTATATATATACGAAAAGTCTACCAAATTATGGCTGGAAATTTAGATATTAATCTGCGCTTTCCCATCACAGAGTTCGTTATCTTTTTGTCCAAATGACTTAGACAACTACATATTTGCAACTATCGGTTGAAAATTTGAAATTAATAACGTCATGAATCAATCGTATAAGAACACAAATATTGCATTATCTCCTCTTTGTTAAGGCGCTTAATGTATTTGTAGCCTTTTTGGTTTTTGTTTGGTCCGCTGCCTCTGCCTAGTGTCTATATGAATTGGTTACTAATTTGTCTTCCAGTGAAGCATACCATCTTAATTTGGTTTATATTTCATTTACAAAAACTTCTTACAGATTTGAGTCAAAGAAAGAAAAACAAAATAACAAGGATGGATTATTGGATTTAATCCTATACAAATTGGTGGGAATGTATTATGTAGTCTTTCTAATGCACTAGATTGATGTGATTATTGAGTTTCTTCTCGCAGGCATAATGTGATGGTAGCATCTAAATCGTGTTATCTAATCTGGTGATATAAATTCTAGTGACCGTCTCTAAATCCATAATAGAACGTCAGTGATCTTAAAAACACTCTCTAAAAAAATTTGATATACTCTTTTTTAGCGTATTTTGGTTGAAGCTTCTCAATGCTCTGGCATTTTACTAACACAGCATCAATCAATAACAAAATTTCACCACGAAACCTTTGCAATATTCCATATACGTGATTTCAAGTTTATCTTGAGTGACCAACAAGAAACAAAACTCTAGCAATCTTCCCGCTCTGCCTTTGGGCTAGAAGCCCGTTCTGAGTTTGTATAGGCTTCATAATAGTATAATACAATTTGTCTCCAATAAGCCAACTACCTTAACAGATTGCCCCAATTCAATTGAAACCTTAATTATGTTTCCCATTTGCATATTACATTACTGCTTTGCACGTAGCAAGAAGAAGGCACATGGAGTCCACGAAACAAAGATCTTAGTGGTAAAATCAGTTCGGATATTGTATATCTTTTTAAAAAATGTTCATTTGTATATTTTATTACCATTTATGAATCATAATTGCATTTGTTTTTGTCATATTATATTGTTTAGCCTAGTCGTGCCATGAAATACCAAATCGTCTCTCTTTTGATTATGTATGACAGTTATACAATATTGGACAGACAAGTAAGCTACATGTCATATATATGTGAACACACTAAGTCAAAAAGTTTAACTGTTGTTAAGCTGTCTCATAAAAAAACCCTAGTGTGAAGTTGTCTTTTACCACTCTTCCAAAATCTCCGACATGCAAAATATAGTTTTTTATATGAAAACGTATAAAACTAAATTAAAACTTAAAAAAATGTTATCATAGGCTCTATATATTATATGTAAAGAGAACAATCTATTAACTTCTATATAATCCATGAATTATTGAGTCTTAAGGATTACAAAATCCTCCATCTTCTCCTCACCTCTACCTCTAAGCAAGTCTCTCTCTCTTGGTCGTAGAATGGAGAAAGATAATGACATCATGGATCCGTTCCTGGCTTCGACGGAGGAACTTGACCCGACAACACAGAAGGCATTGATGGAATATCTGGGAGTCGGAAGCAGAGCATCTTCTCTTGTCTCTTTCTCCTCAACCGCCGTCGATATCCCGCCGATCTCCGGCGTCGGAGACTTCGTCAGAGAGTTTAGAACCGAGTCCAAGAAGCTATGGAAATTAGCCGGCCCGGCCATTTTCACATCCATAGCTCAATTCTCTCTCGGAGCCGTCACTCAGGTTTTCGCCGGACACATTAGCACCATCGCCCTCGCCGCTGTCTCCGTCGAGAACTCCGTTATTGCCGGTTTCTCCTTCGGTATCATGGTACGTTACACATTATATACATGTATGATAAGTACAAATGTAGATATGTTTCTTACGTATTGACTATATCTAGTATTTTAGTACGTAGTATCGATGCAAAGTTTTAAAATTCTTACGTCTATATTTATGTATGGTGCGGTTGCAAACGCGATTATAGCTTGGAATGGGAAGCGCGTTGGAAACGCTGTGCGGACAAGCGTTTGGAGCTGGAAAAGTATCACTGCTTGGCGTTTACTTACAACGCTCGTGGGTGATTCTAAGCGTAACCGCTCTCATCCTTTCTCTAATCTACATTTTCGCGGCTCCACTCCTCATCTTCATAGGCCAAACCGCTTCAATATCAGCCACAGCAGGCCTTTTCTCCATCTACATGATCCCACAAATCTTTGCCTACGCGATCAATTTCCCTAGCGCAAAGTTTTTGCAGTCGCAAAGCAAGATCATGGTCATGGCAGGGATCTCTGGTGTGGCTCTTGTGATCCATACGTTCCTCACGTGGCTAGTCATGCTAAAGTTCCACTGGGGACTTCCCGGTTTAGCTTTGGTGCTTAACACGTCGTGGGTCTTCATCGTTGGGGCACAACTTGTGTATATTTTTAGCGGTACGTGTGGAGAGGCTTGGTCTGGACTCACATGGGAGGCTTTTCACAATTTGTGGGGTTTTGTCAAATTGTCTTTGGCTTCTGCTGTCATGATTTGGTGAGTTTCAAACCGTACTTTCTCCGGTTATTTTTGTCTCATCAACTAATTTAACTCATATTTTTATAATTTTTGTTTTACGTACTTTTTGTAGCTTGGATGTTTGGTATTTTATGGCACTCGTATTATTTGCTGGATATTTGAAGGATGCTGAAGTCTCCGTAGCGGCACTCTCCATATGGTAAAATTTGTTATACTTAACCACTTCTCTTAAATTAAAATAATTTCGTCACGTAAGGTTTACACGATTTGTTCTTCATTTTATCTAAATTATCATAAAGATTCTGTAAACAAGAGTAGACCCAACGTGCGTAGTAGTCTCTTTGTTTCGTCTTTTGTGGCCATTATAGTTTAAATATTTCACATATATTATTTTTATAATATAAGTTTGCTGGACTGCATATACATGTGTGCTTATTAAATTAATATCTAGGAATCTATAACAATTATGAGTTAGAGTTTGAAAATGTTGAGTCTTCTTTACAAAATTTTGTCTGATTATTTATTTACCTTAATGAAGCATGAACATTTTGGGATGGGCAGCTATGGTTTCATTTGGGATAAACGCAGCAGTAAGGTAAATTCTCAAGTGCAACTAGCGAACTACCACACAAACGTGTGAAAACTAATTGATGACACATAACAATACGGTTTTGTGCTTTTTTTTTTTTTGGCAGTGTGAGAGTGTCAAATGAGCTAGGAGCTAGCCACCCAAGAACGGCCAAGTTCTCTCTAGTAGTGGCGACAATACTATCGACAGCGATAGGGATGGTTATCGCGGCGGTTCTAATCCTCTTCAAAGACGAGTACCCAATTTTGTTTGTGGAAGATGAAGTAGTTAGGGATGTGGTTAGAGAACTCACACCAATGCTTGCGTTTTGCACCGTCCTCAACACTGTTCAGCCTGTCTTGGCTGGTAAGATCCTTAATATGTGTTTCTTGGATTTTAAAACTGTGTGTCTATGTGACTATGCGAGTGTACATACACTTTTACCTCAAAACTAATTGGATATGAAAGCAATAGTTGTATATATGACACATATAAGTCTTATATGTTAACTGTAAATAAAACTTTGATAACGCAGGAGTGGCAGTTGGAGCGGGATGGCAAGCAGCAGTTGCCTATGTGAACATAGGTTGCTATTACTTGTTCGGAGTCCCACTTGGTCTATTTTTGGGATTTAAGCTTGATTATGGAGTAATGGTAATGAAATCCGAATCAGATCATTTGAAAAAAACTCTCATAAGTCACAAATGAGACAGAAAAGAAGACTAAAGAGTTTTTGATGTTGACATTAATATTCATCAGGGGATCTGGTCGGGGATGATGGTGGGAACTTTTGCACAATCGGTAATTTTGACTTGGATGATCTTCACAACCAATTGGAACAAAGAGGTAATTAAGGAACCGAGTTAGTTCATGATGCTCCGAGTTATTGTTCTAAATTTCTAATTGAATAATCTGTTGAGTGATATACTTGCAGGCTGCATTGGCAGAGGAGAGGATAAGAGAATGGGGAGGAATAGAGAAAGAGAACCTTTTAACCTAAAAAAGACTTCTTCTTCAAGAAACAAAAATGTTACATTTTTTTGTTCGGACCAAAAGGAGTTAACTTGTTCATTCATTAAATATTGAATACATATGTAAAAGCCTTTTTTTATCTATAAACATTTTGACATTTTGAGAATGAAAAACTATCAAATCATAATTTAGTTGCTGATGAGTAGATTCAAACAATTAATCTGTAAGTGATAATGGGCTTAATTTTAACAACTCTTGGGTCTTAAATTTAAACTTTTGCTATAATTTTTTTTAAAAACATTTACCTTAAGCTGTCCCAAACAAGGATAATATCAATCTTTACTAATTTAAAACACCTATTTGGGGTCTCTCAAGGCATCTCACAGATTCACCTATAGAATGCCACGTGGCATTTTACAAAAAAAATTAAAAAAAAAAAAAAATCATCTTCGATTCGCCTCCCAACGATATGCCTTAAATTGAGTAAAATCCCTTCTTCTACCTTCCTCCTTGGATTGATTCTTCCCGTCTTCTCCTCTCCCACACAGTTCTCGCCTACAATTAGATCGAGACCTATATCCGCTGCTACACGATGACAGCCACCGTCTGCGACTTGCCTTCACACATCGTCGTCTTCACTCCTGTTGGATGTTCAGGTAAATAGAACAACCATTTTACAATTGTATCACTCCATGTGCCCGTTTTTGTAGTTCTCTTTGTTTATCCTGTGCCATGGCCACAACTCTTTCTCCAGAAAACAGAGAGTTTGGTAATAGACAATAAATCTTACAATATCAAAATTCTGATCCTTTAATCTTTTGTCTGTCAATAGCTTTTAGATCATTCTTCTTCTGTTTATATATGATTCCAACGCAATTGTCATTTGGAATGATGCAAGGAAGGTGGCGATCTAACAAGTTTGTCCCAGTTAGTTTATATGTTTCTCATTTTGTGAGTTATAACACTATTTTTTCTGTTACATAAAGAACAAACACTACTTTTTGTGGGTGTTCAGATTCTGATTTTGGATTTCAATTGGCTTCCATGTCGTGGGTTTATTTGATGACAATTCTCTGATTTCAACTGGGTTTTCAGTTCATTTCTGATTCTATGTATTTCGATGTGGTTATAGTGGGAGGAGCTAAATCGATTTGTGATTTGGAGAGCAAGATCATTTGTTGAGGTCTCCTGGGAAAGACAACATCGAGGACTTCTCTCCTGCAAATTCATCCAGATCTCCAAGACTCCATCTCTATCAACTCTCAACATCAGTAAAATACTTTTCCTCTGTTTTCATGGCAGTTTAACTACAGTGACAAAATCATGGCCACCTGAAGAGCGATGCTTACAAAAGTATGCTTTTCAAGGCTTTTACAGATTTTTGTTTCAAGAGTCAACACGAGAGGTTTTAGAGTTTTTCTGGCAGTAGATAATGTTTCGTGATAGTTTTCCATTTGCCCAAGCGATGGGTTGCTTTGGGTGCTTTGGTTGCTATGAGAGGTCCAGACAATGATATTACGTATCCCGATCATGGTGACGCAAACAGCAATGCGGGAGATGGAGAAGAAGAGGAAGTAGAGGAGCAGTCTGGTGGATGAGGTTGCCAACTTCCCCCTGTTGGTAGTTGAAAAGCTTCGAAGAATAAGTGAGGAGATACTGAGAAAATGTATCTTTTTGTATGGGAGCATTGTGTGGATGGCTACGAAAAAAAAGGAAAAAACAACTCTTCTTCGAGTTGAAAACAGAGTCAACAATCATTGTTTTTTTTTAAATAACATCAAACTATAAGTGTTAGCCGGATCAAATCTTACTTTTCATCTTGACGACTCGGTCGAAGGAGAAGAGGAATTTCTTGTGACGTCCACTATCAGGAGGTAATCGAAATGCATCTCCGACGTTGGTTAAATGGAATGACAAAGAAATACGAGTATAAAAATTAGGAGAAGCGGTGTATGTAGCTTTAGTAGAGATTGAAATTGAAATGTCCTCAATTCTATTCTCCTTATTTGTATTTTAAACTGCGTTTATGGGTGACGTTGATTCTTAAGTCCTTCAATTCTAATATTTATATTTAATTTGTTTTACCGTTCGACATTTCTTTTTTCTGAATATTGCAGAATATCTAAATCTTTAACGAAACTCTCCATTTCCTTAAAATTGCTCATGTAAGTTAATATAGAAAGTTAAGAACTTCAAAGCTCAAAATGGTAATATCTAATGTGTTATAGTAACATTAGATATTACCATTTTGACTATAACACATTAGAGATTACTATTTTGAGCTTTGAAGTTCTTAACACTGTTAACACTGTTACTTACATTTCTTTAAATAAATAGTAATATCTAATGTGTTATAAGTAATGTTACTTACATTTCTTTAACAAATTAAAACAAAAGAGAAAGTTGGAGTATTCGTTAAAGTAACAAAGTAATATTGTCCAATTATTTTACCTGGAAACTAAAGTTAAATAGTTTAGTTTCATTGTATATTTGACCTTTTCTCAAAGTTACAATATTATTAATACCTACACTATTTATATGCTTTCACAATAACATTAAATTTCCAAATATGCCAAAGTAAAATCATTAGACTCCATTAAGTTTTTATTGGAATAACAGTAAACATTTTACCTATACTATAGATTTCTTTTATGGTTACTTTTTTTCATATAAGTATCTTCTCTTTTGACTGATAAATAAACTATGTATAATCGTCAAAAAAAAAACTATATATATATAAAAGAAACCGCGCGTAGCGCGGTCCAATCCTCTAGTTTCCTTTAATAAATAAATATCAGAGATTTTCTAACCTTATCTGAGATTGACAGTTGACAGTTGTAACAATATCATCAGAATTCAATCTCAGTATTAACGAAGTTCCAGAATCCAGATCTCTTCTCCGATTATAAAACTTCAAATCCCTAATTCATCTTCTTGAACTTTGCTAGAAAATGGATCATGATCTCGAGATCTTCCCTCTACTCTCTTACGTCCTCCACCACTCCGATCCAGCTTCTCACGCGCCACCGTCTATCGCGATTCAGCAATCCCTAGCGAATCGTTACCCTCTTCTCACCAATCCCCACGTCATCTCCTCGCTGATCGAATCGATTCCCAGCACCATCACGCAGACTCTTTTCGTCTTCGGCTCTCTTGGAACTCGACCCGATCCTTCCGCTGTCTCTGCTGCTCGGAGTAAGATCGCTCAGATCCGGGAGACGGATTCGCTGTCACCGGAGGATGCGGCGAAGGAAGAGCAGGTTTACGCTACGGTTGTTCGGTTGGAGGAAGTTCACGATGGGTACGAGAAGCAGTTGAGGGGTTTGGATGAGGAGCTGGCTAAGGTTTATGCGTCGGCGGTTGAGTCTTTGAACGGTGGCGATGAAGTGAACGAGGAGGTGCTCGCGGTGCTTAAGGAAGCTGAAAGTGGTGGAGTCGTTGAGAGGATCGATCTCTCTGATCGTCAGCTTAAGCTCATTCCTGAAGCTTTAGGGAAATTCGTTGGATTGGTTTCACTCAATCTCTCTCGCAACGATCTTAAGGTAAATAATTTGAATCATTCCCACTTGAATGTTAGCGGTTGTATTAGAAGGGAAAACAAAGGCTTAAGTTTTGGAATTTGGGATTAGACTGGCTTTAGCTCACGAAACTCGGTGTTTGTGTGAAGCTTGATTCGTCTCGTTATCTATTAGTCATTGGAAAATAGTTGCAGATGAACAACTCCATGATTTGTAGAGATTGTGTTCTGTGAAGGAGAAAAAGCATGAAATCTTCGATGTCTAAGTTTTGGAATACAGAATTGGACTGGCTTTAGCTTATGAATCTTTGTGTTTGTGTGAAGCTTGATTGTCTTCTCATCTATTAGTCATTGGAAACTACTAGATTGACGATAGCTGCAGATGAACAACTCATGATTCTGGTGATCCAAATGCCGTTTCTCAAGTCTTCTGTGAATCTTTTTCTGAGTGAATAGTGATTAATAATCTGCTGTTGTGATCTTGCTAAACGTGCCGAGATCTTGATTTGTTTGTGTCGTCTCTTGTGGTAACTATAGTTGATTTCCTTTTGCAGTTCCTACCTGATTCAATCACAGGACTTGAGAAACTAGAGGAGCTTGATCTATCTTCAAACAGTCTCGGGTCTCTTCCCGACTCTATCGGACAATTACTTAACCTCAGGATCTTAAATGTGTCAGGGAACAAGCTAACTACACTCCCAGAAAGCATTGCGCAGTGCAGGTTTTTGTGCTTATACGTTTGTTCATGTTTCGTTTCATTTAGCCTATTATTACTCAATTCTGAAGGGAGTGACAAGTTCTTGTGATTAGGTCACTAGTGGAGCTAGATGCCAGCTTCAACAACTTGACTTCTCTGCCTGCAAACATTGGCTATGGACTACTCAATCTCGAAAGGCTATCAATCCAGCTGAACAAGATCCGTTTCTTCCCCAATTCGATATGCGAGATGCGTTCTCTGAGATACCTAGACGCACACATGAACGAAATCCACGGCCTTCCAATCGCTATAGGGAGACTCACAAGCCTAGAAGTCATGAACTTGAGCAGCAACTTCAGCGACTTGACGGAGCTACCTGACACTATCTCTGATTTAGCAAACCTCAGGGAGCTGGATCTCAGCAACAACCAGATCAGAGTGTTGCCCGACTCGTTTTTCAGGCTAGAGAAGCTGGAGAAACTGAACTTGGACCAGAACCCATTGGAGTTCCCTCCTCAAGATATGGTTAACCAAGGCGCTGAAGCGGTTCGAGAGTTGATGAGGAAGAGATGGGAAGAGATGGTGGAGGAAGAGCAGTTGAGAAGTGTGATTGAAGCTGAGAAGCAACAAGGAGGAGCAACGGGTTGGCTCTCATGGGGAAGCTCCATTGTTACTAATCTTGTTTCTGGAGGTACTACTCATGGTGGTGGAGCTAAGAAGCCTAAAGACTCGTTTTTGGATCAGCTGCTCTGAATATTTTGTTGGCTTGTGGTGGTTTCTTTGATGAAAACATTCACATTTTCGTAGTTTAGACATATGGCTTTTACTGTGTCTTAATGGGCCCTTAACAACTATTTTTAGGCCCAGCTCGTAGTTATGTTTGGGTAACATTGACAATGAGCATTTGGCGACTTTAATGTGCCTGTGTTTTACTACACAATACACAACATAGAGGTTTTTCTAGTAGTTTCATAAAGGTTGCCAACAAAGAAGAGTAAATTTATGAAGAAAGTAAAATTGATCGTATGGAAATATATTAACGGCCGAAATCCGATCTTCAATTTTTTCCGATACACGTGTAAGTGTAGGAGATTACAATTATGTTCTTTATTTATTCAAAGAGCGTAGAGGTTAAAAAATATTTATTTTATTCCAAAGACACTTGTGGGACAAAAGCTGCTGAAGAACATCTAGTTACAGAAAAAAGGAATGATGGATCTTGGGACTAGGGTTTCTACATCAATGCGCCAAAAATAATACAGGTAAAATTAGGAGTAGTAAAATTTCTAACGAAAAAAAGAGTAATGATATTGATAATAGTTGTCATTTATTATCTGCCAGTTTCTTGTTTGATAATGGTTTAATGGAGGGTGCATTATATTCATACATATGAATCTGACCCTAAGGTATTAGAGGTAGAGAGATTAGGAGACAATCTGATCAGAAAAAAAAAGTACTGCTTATCTTACTCTGAGTTTGGCAGATCATTATGCTCCTCTCCTCTCTTTCTTATTTTCCACTTTTGTTAGATGTTTTTATGTTCGTTTTTGTATTGCATTGACTTGAAAAGTAAGCTTATATATTAGCACCATGATCAATGTGTTAGTGTGTATAGATTAGGACCCATCTCTAGTGTAATTACTCTTCAAACAGTAAGTTTGGTCGATCTTCTCAATAGTCTAAACGGTGCCACTACTGTTCACTAACAATGACATTTATACATTTAACACTAATTGACAAAAAAAGGAACGTGTTCTCAGACGTTTCATTTCGTTAAAAATCTATATGGGAGACGAGTTTTGAGTCTTGTGAGTTGTAACAATTCTCTGAATTATATAAACTGCACCTTAAGAACAAATCATGTCGAATCCGTCGAATTGGTACCCAAATTGTTCCACTAATCTAAAAGTTTACTTTAAATCCGAAATCACAGCACCAAACATCTGACACTCGTCTACTTTTAAGTCCCATTTAATATACTACATTACTACCCACGATGTGGTTGGGTGTAAATGATTATCTAACTATCTGAACAAAGCTGTAAGTACAGGTCCGGATTAGTAGTACTCTTCATAATTTCAATGTTTTACATTTTATCTCATATCACACGGACATAACGTGAAAACCCCTTAAATTAGTACTACTTGCTTATATGATAAAACTCTATTTATTCCTCTCTCAGGAAATTTATATGTAATCAATGGAGTACTTGATAACCACTGTAAATTTGTTGTATAATTATTAATCTAAATTTTGGCTTACCGAATATTTATGAATATTTTTTCCTATTTTTTATTTTGTTGGCGAACTATTGCTCAGAGTGTGGATGCATTTAATGATATTTGGCCCAAATTTATTAATTAAAATTACATATAGATAGTCAAATCAGAGGGTAATAATTATGTAACGCATGGGTGCGCAGGGTCCACATCATAGGGGGCAAAATGATGAGAACGATCTTTTCTGATGTCCCAAAAGGTCTCTCACTTTTAACCATATTTTGAACTCCAAAAAATACCCACATGTAAAAGGATTTTTTTCTTTTCTTTTTAGAAGAAATGTCAAAGGCTGATTGAGAGAACTGTTTGTAACTTTTTACTCTCTTTTTTTTAAGCAGGAAATTATGTTCTCGGAAGAATGAAGATATGTTGAAGAAAAAAATTCCGTTTTTCAAGGTAAAATTGATTGATTGGATTTTGAGTTTTGGGTGTTTGACACTCGCTTTCTTTTTTGTCGTTAGAAAATCTCCTTTTTCTCGACTCACCATTTACTCCCTTTTTCAAAATCTATCAAATCAAATTCTAAAATGTTATGGTGTGCCGTGAGAGGTAAATAAGCTGCATTTGTTTTTCAACAACACTGTTCAACGACATTTCAACATAACGGAAAAACGACACTAGTACAAAACATAAGTACTCAGAGTATACGAGATGGTAGTAATTGCTTTCGTAACATTGGAATTCACAAAGACATTTGCTTAGGAGTGAGCTGGAAACCCAAAGTCTTCAGTTCCCCATATTTTTAAGAATCTCTCAATGATAAAAAAAATTTCAATTCCAACGAACTTCCTTTATGGTCTCGACTTACCCATATTGTAACAATCAATATAACAATTATTATCATCTATATTAATGCAAACCTGCCACGGACACATTCTTATTTCATGCATGGTTTAATAAGGCGGTTAAGATTTCCATTTATGCTTTTTTATAAATAGTTTAAAATTACCTAATTACAATAGAAAATGAAACAAGAAGTTCATAGTTGTATACAAGATCTTGCATACGGTTTAACTTAAAGTTGTAACATTTCAACATCGTAAACAAAAAACTGTTTTTCTTACCATGATATGCTCTTTTATAAAGTAACAAGAGTTTAACGCTTAAAATCATAGTTAACCTGAAAACGGTGGAGGTGTTTATTTTCTGTGGTCGGAAACTTAAAACCTTTAAAAGGTAGATGTGTTAAAATAAGACACAAGAATATTACAATGATAAATTAATGGACGTAAATTAATGATTAATTTATTTTAACAGATTGTTTAATTCTAAAGTTTGATGGTTCTATGGATTTTATAATTGTACATATGATGACAGAAGCAATAAATAAAAAGTCAGCTTCTGGTTCATGAAATACATCTGCCTCATAACATACGTTTAGACAACCTGAAACGTCTTCTTTGTACAATACTGTAATACATACAGGTGTCAGATATACACTGCAGTGTTGCTACGCATATCTTTTGTTCCATGCCTTTTCTCTACTTTCAATAATCATTGATTTCGTTCACGATATTGTTGGTTTTTTGTGCTGAATTAATATAATCATATAGTACTCCATATATATATATATATTCATAAGTCTTTTTATTGGTAAACCTTCAACAATGGATTTACCATTTTTGTATATATGAAACCTATAACAAAAAAAAATTGTACTCCAAAAAGACAGCAATTAACAAAAAGAAATGTATATATGAAACCATATGAGCAAATTTCAAAATAAATTCCACGTTACGAAAGTGTATATGCGTAAATAACTTGACGAGTATTAGAAAAATGAAGTTTAACCCCAAATTTTATGTACCTATAAATAGATTGAAGCAGCACCATCTCTGTCACAGTGCAACACACCAATCTCTTACATTCCTCCTTGGTTTTGTCCTAAAACACAAACCCCCCAAAAAACCAAAAATGGAAGAAGCCCT